CCCCCCCCTCTCTCTCTCTCTCTCTAACTGAAATTGAGAAATTTCACTCCGAACTGAAATTGTGTTAGGTGGGATCACGGTGTAAGAATAATACGTGGTTCCACTCATGCAAAATCATTGTGATTTTCCCATCGACATCTAGAATGGACCGCTGATGGCAATGGTGGGGGTAGAAAGACGATTAGAGTGAGAGGCAGGACGTTCTTTCTCTGTTTACTGAAGCCTGATTGGTTGTTGTTAATCCAACAGTAGTTAGAAACAACAGTAAACAGAGAAAGTACGATCTTATTATTCCTGAACAAAAATACAATATAAATGGCTTATTCCACGTGCGCAAGATAATATTAGCGATATCAATTATTTAAAATGAATTATATACAGTCAGATATCATAAACGTTTCGATCTGTTCATCAGATTATTATCAATATTAATAGAATTTAAATACACACAAACATCCTAGCGTCATTATGTAATGTTTCGCAACTTCATACAATTAGTCATTATAAAATTATAAGATTCATACAATGTCTCACTTATCCAGACCAATATCATATATTTGTTGTCCCGTCATATTCTTAGTTACTGAATGATTACTACTATTGTTCTGCTATAATGGACCATCAGAATCGTCCCGAATCGTGTCTCCTTATTGTAAAACATAACTTATGTCCATCCAACAATCCGCATAAAATAAAAAATTTTTTTCCCTCAACAATTGGACAAACAATTACCTGATTCTATAGATCAAACAAACCAAAAAAAAAAAAATAATAATTTTTAAATAAATAAATAAATAATCTTTCAATCAAAAATTAAAAATGTAAAAGTTATTAATCCATTCTTGCTCTTAAGTTACCTTTGTACAATTGCTTCAGAACATAAAAGATTTAACGATTTCGAAGATTCAAAACAGGAACACAATCCGACAAGATCGTGATTATCCACCGAAAACACACATCTCGACAACAACACGTGTACTAAGTATCATCGTAAATGTATCTCCCATATATTACCTCATTCTATTACATTGTGGAAAGGGTACCTGTTATTATTGGTTGGAATTCTTAAAAGCGGTATATATGATTCTGGGAGTTTTTCCGTGTCAGTTTGCTTATTTAAGCCATTCTTTTGTTTCTTTATGTAAATCATTTCAGCTGTCAATCTTTTATATAAATAAGGTTCATTATTTAAAATTTGAATGTCATCCCAATTTAATTTATGTTGTAATTTAACCTGATGTTCTGCTACTACAGACAACGATTCTTTTTGTTTTTTTAAGTCTGCTTTGTGTTCTTTAATTCTTGTGCCTAGCTTTCTTTTTGTTTGGCCTACATATGATGCATCACAATTCTGACAATTTACTTTATATACAACCTCAGATCTTTCTATTTTCTCCAAACTATCCTTTCCTAATTTAATAACAAAATTTAGATTGTTCATAGGTTTGTAAGCAATTTTATGTTCAATTTTATTCGCTATATATTTGAATTTTTCTGAAATGTTTTGTACATAAGGAATTAAAAAATATTTATTGTTATTATTAACATCCACATTATTGTTATTATTGTCAATTTTATCATTATCATATAGGTTTTTTCTTTTCGATAAAGTTTTTATTCTGCCATTTATAGTAGAAAAGATAGTTTCTAAAGGATAGCCATTCTTCAATAAAATATTAATCAGATCTGTAATGTTTTTTTCATGATACTCTGGATGCGATAAAAAAATTATTTTGTCAAAGAGACTAATTACTATCCCTCTCTTATGCTCCTCCGGATGGCATGACTTATAATTCAAATATCGACCCGAATTAGTCGGTTTTTTATAGTTATTGAACTTTATTTGTTTGTCTTTCAGAATAACAGACACATCTAAAAAATTCACACAACCATCATCATTCTCTTCAACCGTAAATTTAATTCTATTATGATGCGAATTGAATAACAACAGCACCTTATTTATTTGGACGTCCGGGAGCGCAACTAATATGTCATCCACATAACGATAATATATCGGCACCTTAAATTCTAAACTGTTAATTACATACAATTCCAAGTCTTGGATAACTAAGTCCGCTAAGATCGGTGACAGAGGTGAGCCCATTGGCATGCCGAATATCTGTTTAAAAAATTGATCATCAAATTTGAAATATGTAGAATTTAAGATAAACATAATGGCTCCCAAGAATTCAACAATCGGAATTAATGTATTTTTTGAAATATCAACCCATCTATTTTTGATACTATTTAGTACTAATTCTTGTGAAATATTCGTATACATAGAAACTATATCAAAGGACACAATTTTATAGTTCGAGTCTAATTTCATTCCATCTAATTTCTGAACTAATTCAAAACTGTTTTTGACATAACCGATACTTTTATTAACACTTTTATCAATAATTTGTTTTAGATAAGATGAAAGCTTATAAAGTGGGTTATTAATACAACTCACAATAATTCTTAACGGATTCCCTTCTTTATGAACCTTCGGCATACCATATGCTCTTGCCACCGTTCCATCAGTGACATTCAGATTTTTGTAAGTTGATATGTTGATGAATTCGTTATCCTTCCATCTACTTAATAACTGATGCATTTGTCTGGTTAATCTCATCGTCGGATCTTTATTAAATTTAATATACGTGTTATCGTCAGATAATAAAGCATGCATCTTCATTTTGTATTCTGTTAAATTCATTACCACAGTCATATTCCCCTTATCCGCTTTAGTAATTAATATTTCTTTATGATTGTCCATAAATTGCTTCACTTCTTTCATTCCATATTTTATTAAATCCATGTTACATTTGTTACGTACTACCATATTATATGACATTTTTTTGAGAATTTCAATGCTATCATTCCTAATAGTATTACGTACACTGTTATCAAAACCAAAGATATTATGTTCTATATGTTTAATAAATTCTGTGATCATTTTGTCGTTATCTGTTTTACTGTACGGAAGATTAAATTTTTGTCCAAGTTGCAATACTATCTTAACACTATTAGGAATCTCCACATTACTTAAATTGATTAACCAATTTTCATTGATATTGTCTAATGAAAATTTCTCATTAAAATTGATAGGATCAATGTTGACTTGATGTAAGATAAGATTATTACTTTTATCAATTATTTGTGGGGATATCTTTCCTATTTTAGCCGGAATGAATTTAGTATCAGCATTAGTGGCTTCTGACCGAAGTAAATCAAACCTAACAGAATCTATACTACTCTTCTTTAAATATTCAGAACGTACTCTTAAATTTTTTAATTTATTATTTATTCTCTTATTATTCCTGCCTCTCACTCTAATCGTCTTTCTACTCCCACCATTGCCATCAGCGGTCCATTCTAGATGTCGATGGATTTTCCTGAGGAAACTCCGCAGTTGAACAGCAGGTGGCGTTTGTGTATAACACCTAGCCTCATAAGCGTTTCAAGTAGTTTCAAGAGACATATGAGTAGGATCGGAGAAGGTAAATGTGACGGTAATGAAGGTAAAAGTATAATAAATAATTTAAAAAATAGATAAATAAATATATAATATTGTATATATATATATATATATAATATATAAATAATACATAATATATAAACTTGTTCTTTATTGATAATTATTATTGAACTTCAAGTTCAATAATAATTATCAATTGTTATGTAAACGAGCTTGTTTCTTTTTCTCACGACTCGTTTTCGTTAAATCATTATTTATTTGCTTGGCATACTGGCGCATTCGCATTGTGATATAATAATAAATATAATGACTCAGTATATCTAATTTATGATCTTCACAAGGAAATGTAAAATCGTAGTTTAACATTATATCATTAACAGTTCGTTCGTATACATCAATGTAATTTAGATTTTTTCTGAAGAAAGTTTCAGCATTATAAAATAACATATATAACATTATATTATGTTTTAATTTTCCAAAAGATTTTAGATTGACTAATTCTGCGTCTGGTATTGAACTTGTATGTTGTGTAAGTGAAGCTCGACATGTATCACAACTGATATGTTTTAACATTTTCTTTGTAAAAATAAAACCTGATACATAATAAATAATACAATACATAACTGCTGGCATTTCATAATCTTCTTCTATGATATCATCACATTCCCATTCAGATGTTTCAATGAGTCCATCCAATTTATTTTTTAACAAATGTAAATGTTCCTTTTTGTAAAATTTATTTTTGGAATTAAAAATTGTATGGAATTCTTCCTGTGTAATAAACGGTCTCGTGGTATCAATTTCATTATCAATACTACAATTGTCAAATTTTGGAGGTTTCACAATTTTATATATTGATAGCAATCAATATAACTGTAATAATGTTGGGAATATGGGATGATCATTTTGACAACCAGCTTGTCGTAAAGTTCCAAAAAATTGCTACAAAATGAAAATAATATAACTAAAATTGTGAATTTACAAAAAGTATTTTATTCTACATATGTTTCAATAAATTTTTATACCTCTAAACAATCTTGTGTAATTTTTCCTGTCAGAATATATTTAAAACCAAACTTTTCAATTAACTCTGTTATTAATGATATGGTAGACATCAATGTAACTCGCAAGCCCTCTGCTGTACTTTCTGTTAAAAATTGTTGCCTCGTTATTGTTCCATTAAGTAATTCATTTTCCCCACTCGTTTAACCATGTAAGAGATTGGTGAAAAACCTATAATGTAATAGTGTAAACGCTTTGTACTGATTTATATTAGCCATTTAAAATTAATTTAATTAATAGATTTAAATAATTAATGTACTTTAAAATCGTTACTAATTAATGTAACTCCTTCCTTTAGAAACCGTCGATTTAAAGCATTGAACATATTATTTATTTGCAAGGTAAATTCGATTGTTCCTTCACATTGCTCAAAGCGTTTATTTCTCATTTGGTAAAATTTCAAGCCATCCGCAACTTTTACTAAATACCTATTTCTCCATGCAAACAAAATTCATACAGTCGTGAAATAATTTTAAATAAAGCTTTAAAAATAATATACCTGAGTTGCCAAAGACACTCTCATTTTCATAGTGTTACTTGGTTGAATATGATTAATAGTCAGTTTGGGAACAATATGAAATTTTCCTTGGTCTTTAGAATCTTCTTCGTATAATAATTTGTAATAAGCCCAGTTTATAAACTTGCCCTTGAGCTAAAACGATTATATAGGAATTATTACTGACCATAATATGACATAGAAAGTCTAAGATAATGTTGACATACCCGTCCAATGAATTCAGAACAGAGACGAACTTAAATACTTTCCAATTAAACAATTAAACTCTTCAAGGAGAAAGTTTAATCTTCAAGGAGGACTTGGTATTATACATAAATGTGTTAATATATTTAAGTTAAAATGCAAGTAAAACAATACAATTTACGATTTATTATAATTAAGAAATTAACCAAAAAATACGATTTTCTCTCATACTTCTATTTTACTTTTTTCTATTTAAAAATTGATATTATTTTCTATCTATCTTCTTCTTATAATTGCTGACAATTACAAAAGAATCATCTGAATACAATATATTCGTAATTTACAATTATTAAAGCCGTCTTTGCTCAAAAGTTATCTAATTTAAAAAAAGGAATAAAAAACCAAAATTAATGTATAGGTGCATGCAGAAGCACGACCGCTCATTGAGCGCTCATTGAGCTCTTGTATCTGTTTGGTCTATATTTTTCGATCTAATGGAATATGCCAATCAGATGCAAGAGCTCACTGAGCGCTCAGTGAGCGGTCGTGTTTCTGGATGCACCCTATATTTCATCAATGAGATTAAAATATCAATCTGCAAACATACATATTATTATATTATACCTTACACGTAACCTTCAATAATCTATTTCTTATACATTTAATTAAATGAGGTGTATCTGAAATGATATATATATTTCTGTTTGAATCAACAGGGTTCTCAAAAAAACAGCTAGTATTTTGAATTTTTCCAGAAATGCCAAATTCGTTCCCACATCTTTCTGTTAGTAGTAGCACCATCGCAAATAATGCCATGAACACGAGCACCTACTTCTTCCAGGAATATTATCGCTTGTAATATTAACTGAGCTAACACTCGTCCCTTAGTAGCTCCAACACAACCAAAAATAGCAATTGGTTGTTGAAAATTATCAGCAAGAGAAGTAAACATAAAGACAAGAGCGTGATCAGTCATATTCTTTACATCCATGGGATGGTTTTCACTGATCAATCCATCAAATGTTAAAGTTTTTGCATTAACAGCAATACTTTTCCGTACCTGTATTTCATCAAGTACAAGAACGCCATTCTTTGCAAGATTACTAAGTGAATGCAATTTATTTCGAAATAATTCAAAAAATTGTGTATCAAATCCAGTTTTCGTATTAATATTACGAATATAACGATAAATTGTTGTAGGTGATGGAAACGGCAATATATTATTATGACGCAAAAAATTATAACCAGAAGGATTTCTGATTTTATACAATAAACATAATAATAACCATTCTTCAGAATATCTTCGACCATGAGTATTTGACCGTTTTGCAACAGAAATACATTCATTTATGAACATAATCTAAAAAGCATTAAAATACATTACTACAAAATATTTTTCATCAAAATTATTTTTAATTACATATTTAATACTTTACTTGAAACGTAATGACTATTTTTTAATTTTTAGTTGTAATTTAGAAAAATAATATCACAAATTAAAAACGAACTTGTGATTCTGGAAAATTCAAGATTTGAAGATGCTCTTGAAGTGTTTGCTTTTCCACTTTTTTTATTTTTGATTGATATTGTTCTATAATATTTCTAATAATTTTCTGCTTTAACTTCAGTCTTTGTACTGCTTGAACTTTAACTCGTTTGACAGCCCTTAAAGCTATTACTTCTTTACGACTGGAAGGTGTAATCTATCTTTTTGGACGTACGGTGCTTATTACGATCAGCATTTTGTTGTAAAGATTTATATAAAGATACACAAAACTTGCATATTTTTTCTCCAGAAGTCTGTACGGGACATTTCTTATGTCGCCACGTATTGGTAATATAATCTTGTATGGCACATAGTGGATAAGTATCTTTAAAATGATTAATCACCGGACCTCCTTGGCACAAAGTAAAATTGTGTACATGTTCTAATAATAAATTGACATCATCTAAATTTTCTAATATACACTACGCAAAAAAATTAAAGGATCACTTAAGTCCACCTCAAAAATAGGTCAAAATTCAGAAGAATGTAACTTCGTAAAAAATGATCATAACGAGATTTTTAAAAAAGCATTTTAAAGCTTGAAAT